AAGGTCGGAAGGATAATACCAAGTCGAAAGAGGATCAATCACACCTTTTCTGCGATAACTGCGAGAAGGTTGGTCATACCAAGCCTAACTGTTGGGCTCCTGGAGGTGGTAGTGAAGGGAAAGGTCCGCATCAGCGAAATCGACAAGGGAAGAAGCAAAAAGGCGCTACGGCGGTAACTGCTCAGTGTTCAAAACAAGATGACGAGAATGAAGAAACGTACGCGTTTGTTATGGATGCTAAGCACAAGGATGATTTTGGTATGCCTGATCTCCAAGCTACGTCAGACTTCAGAGAGCGGTCAGATGCCCTAGCTGCTGCCAACGTTACTCACAATGGCGAGGTGATTGATACAGGCGCAACGCGCCACTTCTCACCCATCCAATCCAACTTCAAAAATCTCGTTCGAATTGCTCCGTCTCCAGTTACGGCTGCCGACGGTCGATCATTTGTTGTCACAGCACGAGGAGACTACATGACCTCCTTACCTATGGGTCCAGGGAAGAAACCCACTCCAATTGTGTTATCGAACACCTATTATTCCCCATCACTCGCCTTTACTCTCATATCAGTAAGCTGTATGGACAAAGCAGGCTTCTCACTTACTATCGAAGATGGTAACTGCACTATTTTTACTGCACTATTTTTTCACCTCGACCGAACCGTAAAGCTATCGGATTCATCCCTGTAAACCATGGTCTGTACCGGGTCAGTACTGGATCCAATCCTAGATCCGTTCTCGTTGCTGCTGCTGCCTCGACTCAACGTCTCACCATGTACCAATTCCACTGCATAATGGGACACCCTGGTGAAGACACCCTTCGCCGCATGCTCAAAACGGAAATGGCTACAGGAATCAATGTCGACTTAGGAACCACGGTTGGATTTTGCGAACCTTGTGTACAAGCAAAAGCTGCGCGGAAACCATTCCCGAAACATAGCGATAATGCCGATGCAAAGGCTTACGGTGATAAAGTTGTCACCGATGTATGGGGTCCTGCTGAAGTTCAATCCCTCAAAGGAGCACGTTATTCAGCTAATTTCGAGGACGTGTATAGCCGCGAGGAGAGAGTAGACTTCCTAAAGTTAAAGTCCGACTTCTTTCAGTCCTATAAGGAATACGAAGCATGGGTTAAGGCTCATCGAGGGGTGAATTTAATCAAAATTCTTGGCTCAGATCCAGGGGGAGAACTTACCAGTAATGCGATGAACAAACACCTCAAATCGCAGGGTACACGTCGTCACCTCACTGTCCATAACTCTCCACAATCTAATGGACTATCCGAAATCACAAATCGGAACCACCTCGAAGGTGCTAGAGCTATGCTAATTCGTGCCGGACTACCTCGATTCCTATGGATCGAAGCAGTCAATCATAAAGTCTATCTTAAGAATCGAACGAGCCACAGCTCACTTCCGGGAAAGATCACACCTCACGAAAGGGCTACGAAACTTAAACCAAACTTATCCAACCTACGTGAATTTGGAGCATTAGTTTGGGTTAAAGTAAAGGTCCCGAAACTCACAGCACGCGCAGAAAAGGTCCACTTTGTGGGTATTGATGAAGAGGCAAAAGGTTTTCGTGTTTATTGGCCAGGTAAACGACGCGTTAGTGCCGAACGGAATATCTACATGAATCCGGATGAAATTGTGCTGTCAAACCCTCTCGAGATTGAGGGGGAGACCGAAACTACCGAAGTCGAGATTGAACTCAAAATTCCGTACAATCCCTCGAGTCTCCCACAGCCCAAGGATGAAAACGCGTTGAAGGATTCCCCGGAACTGCCTGAAAATGATCCTTCAAAGTCCGTATCCACTCAAGACTTACCAGATCACACACCTTTATCTCGTTCACTGTCCCCTCTCACACCACTTCCATCTCCTTCTCCATCTGCACCTTCATCTCCTACATCTGTTGAAGCCTTGCCAGAACCTGAAAATACGCGGCCACGTCGTGTTCGTCAGCCTACTGGCTTCTACAACGAAACTCGCATGCGCAAGGCAGCTGGAATTGCTGCTGATGCTACAGCCTTAGCAGCCGAAGATGTCAATAAGAAGACCAAAGAATTTAATCCAGACGGCTGGACAGATTTCGCTCTTGCTGCACCAGAGGATCCACAAACTATACGCAAGGCGTTGAAAGGACCTGAAGCCAGCGAGTGGGCACGTGCGTACACCGATGAACTCGCAAGTCTTGAATATTTCCACACATGGGATTTAGTCGAACGCCCAAATGGTGTTAATGTTGCAAAGAACAAAGTCGTATTGAAGACTAAACGGAATCATAACGACCTTGTTGTCCTCCATAAAGCCCGTTTAGTCGTTGGCGGCTATTCTCAAATCCACGGCATTGATTTTTATGAAACATTTGCGCCTTGTGTCAAATTCGAAACTCTCCGTCTCCTGCTCTCCATTGGCGCAAGTAAGGATTCGAAAATCGAACAAGCAGACGTTAAGAACGCGTACCTCCAAGCTGATCTCCACGAAGAGCTCTACATGGATCTCCCACCTCTATATGAGGAATTTCGAACTCTACCTGTCCACCAGAAAGGCAAAGACATCGTCACAAAGTTACGCCGACCTCTATATGGCAGTAAGCAGGGAGGACACGAGTGGTATAAGAAACTTCGTCAGGAAGCTATCAACGAAGGTTTTACTGTCTCTGAATCTGATCCATGTGTTTTCTACAAATACAAAGGTGACAGATATCAGATTTTTGCTGCCGCTACTGATGATTTCACCATGGTTACTGACAATGATGAATCCATGGTGGAACTCAAGGCCTCCCTTGACCGACGTTTCGACATGAAGTTCATGGGACCAATTAGTTGGCTCCTTGGATTTGAAGTTACACGTGACATTGACAAGAAGACCATCACCCTTAGTCAAAAAGCCTACATCGAACGGATTATCAAATGTTTCGGCCAGGAAAATTCTCGTCCCGTCGTCACTCCAATGGAACCCGGAATAGACTTATCCCCCGACTCACCTGCTGTGTCCGACACTCTCTTATCGCCAAGTGAACAAGCCACATATCGTGAAGCCGTAGGTTCCCTCATGTACCCAGCAAAGGTATCTCGTCCTGATATAGCATACGCAACGTCGACGGTTGCATGCTACATGCATGAACCTCACACGACTCACTGGACCGCGGTAATCCGTGTGTACAGGTGCCTTAATGGCACTACCGATTTCGCTCTGGTTCTTGGCGGAAAAGACTCGCCTTCACTGTTCCTCTTTTCTGATGCCGATTGGGGATCACACATGAACCGACGCTCAATATCCGGCTACGTTTCATACGTCGGCGTTGGTCCGATCTCCTGGAGTTCAAAGAAACAACCCATTGTCACCCTTTCGAGTACCGAATCTGAATACGTCGCGCTCACACATGCCGCCAAGGAACTTATTTGGCTTCGACAACTCTTTTCAGAACTCATCCAACCTCTTTCCGAACCAACTACACTCTGCTGTGATAATCAGAGTGCTATCCGACTTTCAAAGGACTCTACTTTCCACGCTCGTACTAAACATATTGACATTCACTTCCATTTTAGTTGTCAGGTCGTCGAACGGGAACAAGCAAGTATTCAATACATTCCCACAGACGACATGATTGCGGACATATTTACGAAGTCTCTTGCTCGTATCAAGTTTGTACGTTTCCGTTCTTTACTTAATGTCCTTGATCTTTCCTCTATCAACTAGCCTTTTGGCTCGAGGGGGAGTGTTAACATTATCCGACCCTCAAGGCTACATACCCGTACATGAACATATCGCTCCGCTCCATTTTACGTTACCTCGCATCCTACTAGTTGCTCGCTTACATACCGATACATCTCAGTGTTTTACCACCACTGAGATGTGAGTACTCGTCATAATGCACCTTCATACCTAGTTTATTGACTCTCTTCTAGATATTATTCACTCTTTTATTTAGGTATACATCTCAGTGTTTTACCACCACTGAGATATATTATTCACTCTTTTATTTAGCTTCGTTGTCCGTCGTTCGCACCTTCAAGTACCTCGTCGTGAATCCCTATCCTTGGTCCACTGTGCAAACAGAAGCTTCCTATGTATTACTTGTACTCACAGTTGTCAATTGATCCTCTCCGAGCTAAATGATATGGCATGTTGAAGAACTACTGAGAATAGGCAACAAGATGGGAAGGGAAGGTGATGGGGAGAAGGGACAGGGATAGGGAATAGAACCAGGGATGGTTGGAGGAAAATGGAGGTGATAACAAGGAAAATTCGGTATTGAGAGGAAGAATGATAGGGGATCCAGGGGAAGACAATGTACGTGGGGGGGAGAGGGCGGGGGAGGATTGAAGAGAGATGCGATGGGGATCTTGAGGGGGCAGATGATGATGACGTGATTCTTGTACTTGGGCACTTGGTAAGGATTTTGGAGGGGAGGTTGCCCATGAAAGTGGTTTGAGACAAAGGATATGAGCTGAAAAAGGCGAGGTCAAATGGTGAAGAAGGACCACATTAGAACACAAAAAGTACTTGGAGGATGTCAATGAAAATGCCAAGCTCACCTGCCCCTGCGAAGACTCTAACAGGACTGGTTGAGGTTTTGGTATTTCAAACATCTGCAAAACATGTATACTCGCCAGAGCAAGGATACTGGCTGGAGAGCACTCTCCAGCGACGAAAGCACCCAAAGCAAAAATCAAAGTCTGCTCTGGGTGCTTTCGCTGCTGGGAAGTGCTCTGAAGTGCTCTGAGCAGCTTTCAGCTATTTAGCCGAACATACAGGTTTTGCAGATGAAGTTCCTTTCATGTTAATTCGTCCTGTGATTCTAACAATGGCTGCTTCCCTTCTCCTCTAGACCGGCAGTGGTTCCTAATACCTTACTCGAACACTAAGTAAAAGACATTGTGGAACAAAGGATGAAGTTTATCATGAACCAAGTTTTGTGGAACACATGAAACTTACTTTACTTACATAAGAGAGCAATCAAAAACATGAACAAAATTTATCACTGCAATTTTTATGCATTGAGGGGGAATTGAACCCCCGGCGGGTCGAGCTTATGGCAGAATCGTTAGCCCATCATGGCAACGACCCAGGTTACCACTACCCCATTAATGCATAACAATTCAATTTCAAAGAGTATTATTAATAAGTTGATGGAATTCCAAGTACCTTGCTAGTGAAGATAACCACGGCCTATGGCAGCATGCAGATCGTATGAACGAGCTTTTCTCCCTCTACTCATCTATCTATCTCACAAGCTGAATGCTTCTTTGCACGTAACAGGATCTCCACCTTGAGCTTGACCTGCATTTGCACTGGGTAATCCATCTCTGTGTCTCAAATGAGCCTCCGAGTTAGATATTTTACATCAGTGATATTCCTGGGCAGATATGTCTATGACTTCCACAAGAGAATATAAAGTTGAAAGAATATAAGCTCTGCATACCGTACCTTGTATGGGGTATATATCCACTTGCGACGAATGTCAGGGAGCACTGGGCTTGTGCAAGCCAGTAGCGACCCGAGTCTATAGGGCGAGGTTCGTATCATCATCCTAAGCCAATTGAGGAAATGACTGGTAAAATTTGCGGATATTATATGCATATATGTCGATCTAAATACCTTGTTACTTCTAAATAATCTGTGCCAGTGTATGTAATCATCATCTCTCCGGTGAAGACACCGACCCCATCTCAACATCCCCACGTCGACCATCATCTTCATTCATCTCAGGAATTTGCCCTTGTCCTATACCCAGTGCCACTACGTCCTTCCTTGTCCCCGGTGCCTTCTCCAACATCAACGCCGCCTTCGCCTCCTTCTTTAAGGCTTCCTCGTCGCCTCTCAAAAGCTCCTTATGTCTAATCATCACGACACTAGCTACAAATGCAAGGACGGTCAACGCAGTGTTCAGAATGAAGACATCTTTAAATCCTTTGTTGTAGCCTTGGACGAGAATTTGATCAGCTTGAGAGGATGTGAGTCCGAATTTGGAGAGATCGGAGGGTTGCAGGAGTAGAGACGGGTTGTTGATTATGGAGGATATTGTAGAGGGAGGGAGGGAGAGGGTGTTCATAGACACACGCATGGCATTGTTTCTGAATATTGTATTAGCATTATGTACTATATTTCGAAAACTCTGAAGAGGTCACTTACAATAGAGCAGCGGAAGATGGGAGAGCGAGAGCGCCACCGAGCATCCTCAGGAACTGATAGGTAGAAAGAGGAACATTAGTTTAGCAATAGCCGAGGGGCGAGGGCCTTTCAGAATAGCATAAAAAGCAACAATCACATACATTCCTCACTGCAGAAACCACTGCCATGTCCTTCCTCTCAACACTAGCCTGAGCAGCAACCGTCGTCGTTTGCATTGTCTGATATCATATCAGTCGGTTACCACTGCAAGCGAAATTGAACGAGGAAAAAGGTATACGTACCGCTCCTATACCAAGACCTGCAATAACCATAAGAACTACCATGACCGCTCTACTCGTCTCAGCGGTAAATATCGTCATGCAACCACACGCGATAGCAAATGTCGCAAAGCCAAGATAAATCATTGACTATACATATGTACACATTCATGAGGCTTTTCATGGACAGATAAGCATGATTTAAAATAAGACTCACTCGATATTTTCCTGTCCGACTGATCCAAATTCCCTGAACCGTATTATATAAATATATGATGATGACAAAGAGGTATCATCAGGAGGGTTTACTTACAGAGCCTACTGCAGATGAAACCACAGTTACAAGTAATGGGATGATGAATGTACCTAGGTAAGTTAAAGAGCGAACGTCATAGATGGAGCGTAGCAAGGTTAATGCAAAAAAACGTACCGGAACGAGTGGATGAATAACCCAAGATGACTTGAAAGAATTGGGGGAGGTAGAAGAGCATTGAGAAAAACACGAATCCGCTGTGATTGACATGAGTTAGTGATGTCCTTGGAAGATACTGGACCCAGCGAAGAAAATTTGACTGTACTTGACAAACATACAGATGTATACACCGACGACCGTCATGTGTCTGAAGATATACACTGAAGACGAGAACGATTGAGCACCCACTGGACCCCATACACTGACTCAGGGAAAGATTGAAACATACTCGGAACGAGCGGGAGCCTCGCCACTCTTGATTCCCATAAGCAGAAAATACCAACTGCGACTATTCCGGCAATTAAAGGCCCCAGGACAATTGCTGACTTCCAAGGGAAGGTGACTCCACCCTTGATCATGAAAAAGTTGATTGTCAGTAATATAACGGGTATAGATAAATGGATGGAATTTGTCCCTCACCCAGACTAAAGGAAGCATGATCATCGTACAGGCCGCAAGAGTCAGGAATACGCCGACGTAGTCAATCATGAGTAACTTGCTAGGGGAAGATTGGGATGGTGAGTATATGGAGGAGATATAGTAAACAATAGTTGCTGAACGCACCTGCGCATATCTCCTTGTACGGGCTTCAGAGGTAATAGAATTAATATAGCTATGCTTGCAAACAATGCTACTGGGAGAGTGATCCAGAAAGTCCACTGTGAGAAGGGAGATGATTGAGATCTTACAGTTGGTTTAATTTAAATAACTCTTGACTTACACGCCAGCTAACATGCTGAGCAAGAGCACCACCAATGATAGGACCGATCGTATACCCAGCAGCAGTCACTGCTCCAGCATATCCTATGAACTTTCCTCTGGTGTGAAATATGGTTAGCAAACAATCTTAACCAGGACGAGAATTTCATATACCGATCTCGCAATGAAACAACATCAGAAACCACTATCTGAACCATACTCGTCGCGCCTCCATCTCCAACACCAGCAATCGCACGGAACACTATCAGCTGGATGATAGATTTCGAAAACCCTGCAACCAGATTACCGAGAATATATATCCCCATCGCCAAAATAATAGCAGCCTTTCGACCGAAGATATCAGATAGACGACCGTATAAAGGCTGGAAGGCAGTCGATGTCATCAAATACGCAGCAGGAATCCAGGCTGAGACTGAACCAGCATTGAACGCGGCGGCGACGGTGGAAAGAGAGGCGGAGACGACGACTTGGTCTAAAGTTGTGACAAGGCTACATAGGGAGAGAGCGAACATGACAACAATTATTTGACGTGGAGGAAGTAATCTGGTCTGGTCTGTTAGTTGAGGTTCTTTTGGTTGCGAGGTGATATTATGATTGGTATTAGGTACTTCCGCGACCTCTGCCGTGTGTATTGAGGCCCTCGTTGTTGAGGTCTGGGACATCCTTGCAGTAGAAAGCAGGAAGAAAGGAAGGAAGGAAGAGGAAGGTATATAATGCGTGTTCGGAAGCTAACCGGGTGCTGATGAAATCGAATGACTGGCTCTTGCTTTAACGCCGTGGGTGCCGGATCCGGGATGTTGCTCAACGAAAGCAAGAATTCGAGCTCTGATAATCCCCATCTATCGTTGCCGCAATTGCGCTCTACTGATAACACTTGCAACTCATAAAATTCTCCAGCTCTCTTTTTCTCTCTCCCCTTCGAAGCACCTTGAAAGAAGCTTCTATAACTACCGAATCGTGCTTAGAATCGTACAAACGGTGACTAGTAACTGTTACAAGGCAGTTTATCAAAATACAAACGCCGTAGATTAAGGACAATTAGCAACGCATAACACACTGTATTTAGCAACTCCTTTTCCCAGATCGGCGAACCTGTTTACTCTAACTACCTTCGACGTGCCATTGATGTTTACGCTTGTTCACCACAACCTGGCCTGAGCGCCCAAACATCGTTGTCATCCCCACCTCTCTTGGAAGTTCAAACCTCTACAACCCTCTTCCTCCTTCTCTACAAACTCCACCGATTTGTTCTTCGTTCAATGTCAACAATCCGAGCAAGATTTCCAAACTCTCCGTCATTGATACGTTCATCGCAATTCAACTCAGTGTATGGTAGCATTCAAGGTGTCCTGTTTGTTTGTAAGATGACTGACTCGGACTGGAGGGGTACATCTTGTCTGAAGCTTGAAGTTGAGTCTGTTATTTATCTATGTTGACATTTGTTGGGAGTTTTAATGAATGAACTTTTCAGCTACATGCTTTTTGCATGTGTTGCAAAATCTCCCCGTTGAAGCATCTCACACATGACAACAACAGTACCAATATCTACTTAATGATCGAGTACCCGAGTCTTCGAATTCCTCAGACCACGGAGGTCCAAACGTTCAATATTAATTCCGATTGGTCCGTTTTTCGCTCAATGTCCACGGAAAATCTTACTCACAACATCTTTGCCGCTAAAATATCCATCAATCATGCATCATGCTAAGTGAGCATATAGCTCAGTGACCACTCATTGTCCTTTGAGTTACGAGTGAAAGATTGCTTGAGGATGTAATATATCATAGGTAGAGAGATATGTACATACATAGGTATGTACGTGTATTGAAAGAAAGTTCACCCCGTAAGTTTTATAGTTAGGAGATGGTTACTGAACTGATGAGGGACTGATTATCAAAATGGTTAGGAGAAGGATTTTATCGAGTTCATTGCTGTGTTGAATGCAAATCGGATGGATAGATAATATTAACACCTGCGATTCTGGAGAATAACGCACTGATGCAAGGAAAGGTTACATACAAACACTGTAAATTGCGGATGAATGTCAGAGTCCCCAGTACCATTAGGGTCATGCATGGGTTCCGAGGATGATGGTAAAACTGTGCTGTCATATCATCAGTAATGTGGTGTCTCAATCGGTGTACTAACCATTTACTTGCATGTGACCGATCTTGCAACCTCTAACTTCCTCGCAGTAGGACAACCTTCATCAATCACAACATTTCTTCTATTTTGAACTGCTGTGCAATGAGCTACCTTGACACCGATGAGAATGAAGATTTGGCAATGTTTGCGTAATCTTTGTGATAGAAACATATCGCACATCCAACCAGAGAACTGCAATTCAAAATGATTCTCTGCAATCGTCTAGATAACATCAGAATTCTCTTGATTCCCAAATCTTACATAGGCCTTCCTATTGTGTAAGCTGTGGAAACACAAATAGATTTTTTTAATAAAACATTGCATCTGCCATTGCGTGTGCTGGAATGGATACTGTTGTAATCTGT